CTCCTCACAGTGGCTGCACCACCCCCAGGACACCAAAGGCACCTTTGCCCATCCATCTCCCTGTGTATCTAGAACTGAGCAATGCCAGGCACACAGGAAGCCCTCAGTACATTTACTTAATAACAGTGAGGTCTGATGAGACCGATGGGCCATCCCCAACTCAGCCCTGCCTGGGAGTTATCACTCTTGATCAATGCAAGGAACATCCCTGTCTCTGAACCCAAAGTTAAGTTTATATAAGACTAGTGGGCCTTTATTCTCCAGGCTGCCAGCTCCACCTTCTCTCTGGCAGGAGCAGCTTTTCTGCAATAGCCTGGAGCCATCTTTCTACCTTTCCACACCGACCAGAGGCCCGAAGCCCTGGAGCGGCTGGGGTGGTGCAGAATGCCTGTGTCATTGCCATAGTGATGACACAAGCATCCTGCCCCATGGTCAGAGCCTGTGTATGCAAATTAACCCACCACCTCTGTTGGGTTAATTTGCATACTCATTCCTGATTGGCTGGTGGGCGTCACGAAGGTATGGTCAATTTGCACCTTACTCTTTTATTAGTGTAGATACTGGAACCAACCCCGAGCCCTTGGGGATGCCTCTATTTATACCTCTCCATTCTGAGAGGCACCCCCTGACCCTGCACCCTTTGTTTTCCATGCCAGTCTTCAATCCTTCACAATATGTGACTCCTAAACCTAAAGCATTTACAACTAGCTCCTGGCTTGAAAAAATTATTAAGTTTTTGGAAAACTTAAAAGATATCCATGTGTTTCCTTTGTATCCAAAGAACCACTGGCCCCTTTATAAACTCGAAGGTAAGACTTTTTCTTCAAAAAAAATTTGATTGCTTTTCCATAAGTCTCCACTGAATTCTCTGAAATTTCTACTGAAATGTAATTTGAGAACAACAGAGGATCCCTGCAAGTAATTGTGCCACCAGCGTCTCTCCACCTCTCCCAGAGCTTTACCTTTAAAGTGTAAATACAGCGTATCGTTCAGCGCTGGGGTGATGTACAGCTTGTGCTGCTTGCAGAGCTTCTGCAGAAACTGTTTAGTCATTCTGTTAAATGGGAAACATGAATAAGCTATTTGTTTGGGTTTATCAGCTCTGAAACATATTCCAAAAATTGTTTACCACATCCATTCCTTCCCCCACATCCACAACATTCTCTATGCCTGATAGCTATTTTAAGTTTTTTTGTGTTTTTTTTTTTTTTTTTTTTTTTTTTTTTGTATAGCTTTCAAGGCCTCATCTATTGATAATATTACTTTCAGCATTCTTAAAAATTGAAACATGTGTTCTAATAAAAACACTTTTAATATCGTGTCATCCATAACTACTGATGTTTCTCTTTCCAGGTCTGGCATTAAAGTTTGATGGATCGTGGTTAGTTATGCCACAGAGGCAGGCCATCCTGACTCCAGCACTACAAATATTGCGCTATTTAATTGCCATGAGTCTCATTTTCTTTCTTCTTCTTCTCCTCCTCCTCCTCACCCAAGGATATTTTTTCCCATTGATTTTTTCCCCCCAAGAGAGAGTAGAAGGAAGGTAGGGAATGAGAGAGGAAGAGAGAGCAAGAGCGGGAGTGACAGCCAGAAAGAAATGGATGTGAGAGAGACACATCAATTGATTACCACCCGCCTACACCCTGCCCAGGGGCCAGGGATCGAACCTGCAACCCACGTACGTGCCCATGACCAGGAATCAAACCCAGGACCCTTCAGTGCAAGGGCCAATGTTCTAACCACTGAGCAACATGGACCAGGGCTGAGCCTCATTTTCTTCCCTGTACACTGGGGTGATTACACCATCTCTCTTACTTGGGAACTGTGTGCTATAAGTGACAGCACCATGTCCACATACCTGGGGCCATCATCTTCCCTGTCATTTCTTTGGTGTGCCAAGCAGCCGTCTGACCTGCTGTCGCCGCTTTGTTTCTGCTCACTTTTGTAGGATGTGTCAGAAGGACCCGAACATGTTTCCTTAGGATCATTAATTTCTGTAAAATTAAGGAATTGGGTCTATGGAGCTCAAGAAATGTATTTAAAAGTTCCCCCAATTTCAACATCATTAATAATTGTCCGTTTTTGGTATAGAACACTAGTGCTCATTAAATTATAACAATCTTTAAAGGACCGTGGAATTTTTGCTTCTAGGTAGGTTCTTGGTAAAAAGCTCTTATACAGATGAGCAAGGAGACATGTATAAAGATATTCATTTCTGCATTATTTGTAACAGCCCCAAACTGTTAACCATGCAAATGTCCATCCATAGGAACTAGTTAAAATAAAACAGTGGATTATTATTCTGCCTTGCAAAGAATACACTGGAGTTAGTTACATCACCAGTATGGCTTAATTCTCAGAAACATCTGCGAAATGAAAAAAAGCAAGTTTAATAATAAGCACAGAATACCATCTATATAAATTAAAAACACACACACCAATGCTATGCATTAAGAACATTACACCCACACACATATAGTAGAGGAAGGGAAGGAGAGAGAGGTATTAAATTAAGGAATCTATACAAAATTCTGGAGAAGGGGATAAAGGAATGGGACTAGGATTGCGGGCTGGGAATGTCAATATAAAATATATGGTGACAGAAGATGATTTGACTTTGGGTGGTGGGCACACAAAGCAATATACAGATCATGTACCGTAGAATCATGTATCATGTATCATAGAATTATTTACTTGAAGCCTATATGATCTTATTAAACATTGTCACCTCGATTAATTTAATGAAAATTATCTGAGCCCTGCTGGGTGTGGCTCAGCAGTTGAGAGTCAACCCAGGAACCAAGAGATCACCAGTTCAATTCCCGGTCAGGGCATATACCGGGGATTTGGGCTCGATCCCTAGTATGGGGTGTGCCAATCAATGATTCTCTCTCATCATTGATGTTTCTGTCTCTCTCTTCCTCTCCCTTCCTCTCTGAAGTCATTAAAAATATATTTAAATAAAGAAAATTATCTGAGATTTTTTTAAATTAAAAAAGACTTCAAGTGAATTGATAAAAACATTAGTTATTTTCAGTTCTTAGTGGTAATAATACATGAGTGTTTGGTATAATGTTCTCTCTGTTCTTTCCTAAAAGTTCTCAAGAGAAAAAAAACCCATAAAAAATAACAAACATAAAAAGTAACAAAAATAGTGGAAATGAGCACATTCAAGTGAGCACTTAATATTTTTAAAGGCCAATCAAAATTGGCCAGTTCAAATACACTTAATCTTAAGGGTCGCTCACTCCTACTGTGTGTTTGTAAAGTCTATTGAATGAGGATCTATCCTCCATGCATGGGACTGGGTCTCACACTTCCCCATTTCCCACTGCATACAATGCTCAGCCACAATAAAACATCAGATAAAGGTTTGTGAAATAAAGAATACATAATTGCTTGATTATATTAATAACAAGAGCTATGATTTATTAATGACCCGCTGTTATGACAGAACCTCTAATTATAATTATCCTTGTAATAATATCTCTGCTTGCAGATAAGGAGACTGCTCCACAGGGAGATTAAGATCTGGGCCAAGAGCCATAAAGCTGGCCAGTTGCAGAGCTGCAATATGAGGCCACTCACGTGGCTTGCCACAGAGCAACATGGCTTTCCAACAGCTCCTTGTACAGAGCTTGTCTGGACAGTTGATGCTCAAGATATACACTGAGTGGCCAGATTATTATGATCTCTGAACGCTTAATAATCTGGCCACTCAGTGTATATCCTATCTAATAAAAGGCTAATATGCAAATTGTCCCCTCGATCAGGAGTTTGACCAGCAGGCAGGCTGGCCAACCAACCACCCATGTCCCCTCCCTCTGACCAGGCTGGCTGGACGCCACCCATGCACAAATTTATACACACACACACACACACACACACACACACACACAAACACTGAGTGGCCAAATTATTATAGAGATCATAATAATCTGGCCACTCAGTGTATTTGTTGACGGGGTTCAAAAAATGAAACAAGCTTTGTGCAGTGGCAGTATCGTGGCCAATGAGGTATATCGGAGACACGATTATTGCTAATTGGGAAAAAGAAACATAAATCAAGTAGTCTCTTTATCTAGGTTTCCCTTAGGGGCCCCGCCCAAGGGAGAGCAGAGGCGGAAACCTGTTTTCTATGCCCATTCTGGGAAACTGGCAAGGAGTCGCCTGCTAACCCCAGAACCGTCAGCTCTTGGTTCACTCGTTCTATCACGAGCCAGGCACTGGAACGGACACTGTGAGTTCAATTAAGATGTCCTGCTCTGGCATCTTTTGATCTTAAATGGTGATAGCAATGAAGGGATACATTCAAAACACACAAAGTTAGGAGGGGAGAGAATGGTATGCTGGGTAAGGACTTGGGCTCTGGCGTCAGATTGTCGCCTGCGTCTATTCTGTTATCCTGACCGAGGGTAATCTGTTTGAAGCAAGTTCTATAACCTCTTTAAGTCCCAGTTTTCCTCATCTGTTTGAAATGGGGAAATGAGTGCCTATTGCAGAGGGCGGGTGTATTATGGCTCAACCGCAGTGAACGCTTGGCACGCATCCTTTAATAAGTGCGGGCCGCTATTATTATTATTGTTATTGCCGGCTGTGCAGATCAGGTATGTGGTGTTGGGCGCAGCCCGTCGCCCCCCTCGCCTCCCTGGGGCGGCGGTCAGCACCTTCCTTGCGGCTCCCTTGGCCTGCGCTCCCGTGGTCACCCGCAGACTCCACGCCAGGCACCACAGCCGGTTCCTGCGTGCAGTCCTGTTTCTCGTCCTCGTCCGCCGTGGGCTCCAAGACCTCGGGGTGCATGTCTATTCCGGAAACACCGAACGCCCCGTAGCAACGGGCAGTCCCGTTTGGCCGGGTCGCTACGGCCCCAGCTGGACCTGAGCGGACCGGTCCGGCTTTCCTTCCCCGCCTGCACTCGCGCCAGCGCCGTTGGCAGCCCAACGCTTCCTTAGTCTCCATGGCAACCGCGGCACATGCGCACTCTGGTGGACCTCCCGACGGCTCTGCCCCGCCCCTCCGGCGCCGGCGTGGGTCACGTGGGAGCGCGGCCCGCTGCTGCGGCGGCGGCGGAGGCTGTGACGGGGGCGGAGTTCACGCGGCTCTGGTGGGAGCGGCTCGGAGACTGCGCCACCTGTGCAGGTACCGCAACCCCTTCTACGTTCCCTATCCCCCCTCCTACCTCCGGCCCGTACCCCAGATTCGCCTCGCGCCCCTGGACGCCCGCAGGGCCTTGGCCCCCTTCCCCCTCCGCGCCCCACCACGCCCCCCGGGACCCGTGCTCTGTGCGCCGCCCGCACTCAGGCCCCTTCGTCCCTCACGGACCTTAAACCTTCGCCCCAGCACCTCTGCCTCCAGACCCGTGTCCCCAGCCACACAGCGCTCTTCCCCAGCTCCACCTCGGCGTGGCACCCCAGAGATCCCTCTCTGCTGGGCCCGTACCCCCCGCCCCACTTCCTCCGCAAACCTAGGGCCCCACCCACCTCAAGCGCTGGGCACCCCACGCCCCCAGACCTTGACCTGGGTGCTCCCCACGAGGCTCTGAAAAATCATCCCCTTTGTACGTGCTTCTTTATTCTCATTACCAAAGGACTTGGTTTGAGTGGGGTTTGTCGTCTTTGTTCTGAGTTAGGAGTAATGCAGAATAAGGTAGCGCTGGAAGAAAGGGCACCGCCAGTTCCCACGGCGATGGTCCTTTGCTCAGGCTTGCTTGGCCGGCTGGTGCTGGAGAGGGGGGAGCTCCGGAGACCAGTGAGGCAGCCCGTGCTCAAGGAACCTGCAGCCCCTGCCACAGCCCAGCAAACCCTGCAACCCTGGGGATGCCAGCAGGATGCCCACCTGGGGGGTCTCTCAGTGGGGCGGCCAGCCAGCCAGAGTTCTGGACTTTCTTAGACCTTGATCTGAATTCCCGCCGCCCCATTCTTAACTGAGAGCTCCTGGTATGTCGCTTGACCTCTGTAAGCCTCAGTTCTCCCATCTGTAAATGGGATGATTCTAACACTGCCTTATATGGTTGATGACAGAAAAAGTGAGCCGCCTGGAATAAAGCACTTAGAGTCTTTTTTGCATAAAGCCAGCTCTCAGTTTTTTAATAATATATTTTAATTGATTTCAGAGAGGAAGGGGGGTGAGAGAGAGAGAGGGAGAGGGAGAGAAACATCAGTGATGAGAGAGAATCATTGATTGGCTGCCTCCTGCACACTCCCACTGAGAATCGAGCCCACAACCTGGGCATGAGCCCTGACCAGGAATCCATCCAGCACCTCCTGGTTCATAGGCCCATGCTCAACCACTGAGCCACACTGGCCAGGCCCAGCTGTCAGTTTTAACCCTGACCACCATAAGTAGCCAATAGCTAACACTGAACACTTAATTATAGTGGCCAATAGCAAAAGCTTATTGATCACTTGTGTCTCAGTCACTGTTCTAAGTGGTTTATGTCTATGACCTTATTTAATTCTTATTATAATCTCAGGCAGGAACTATTACCCCCATGTTTATAGGTGATGTCAGGAAAGCTCAGAGGTGAAGTGACTTCACCTTCACTCAAGACACCCAGCTTGGGAGCCCCGATTCAAATCCAGGAAGTCTTCAGTTATTTGTGATTTTAATCTGTACAATAATGGTCTAAATGCATGGTATTGTTTTTTTTTAATTTCTTTATTGATTAAGGTATCACATATTTGTCCTCAACCCTTCATTCCAATCTCCCACTCATGCCCCCACTCCCCTATTGTCCTCGACCACTGGTTAGGCTCATATGTATGCACATAAGTTCTTTGGTTGATCTCTCCCTTTTATCCCCACCCTCCCTTTAAGGTCCAACAGGCTGACCCATGGCATTGTTTTTTTAATTGAAATAAAAGCTAATAGCATAAGACTTACCATTGTAGCCATTTATAAGTAGGTATACTTTTCATAGAAGCATATTCAGTGTGCAACCATCACCATTTAATTCTAGAACATTCCCATACCTCAAAGAAATTGCAACCCATTAGTGGGCACTCCCTATTTTCCATTTCACTGTGCCCTGGCCACCCTAATCCACTTCCTGTCTCTGTGGATTTGCCTGTTCTGAACATTTCATATAAATGGAATCATGGTATTTGGCCTTTTCTGTTTGGCTTCTTCCACTCAGCATAATATTTTATTATTTTTTAAAATATTTTTTTAATATATTTTATTGATTTTGTACAGAGAGGAAGGTAGAGAGATAGAGAGTTAGAAACATCGATGAGAGAGTGTCATCGATCAGCTGCCTCTTGCACACCCCCTACTGGGGATATGTCCGCAACAAAGGTACATGACCTTGACCGGAATCGAACTCGGGTCCCTTCAGTCCCCAAGCCGAAGCTCTATCCATTGGGCCAAACCGGTTTCTGCTCAGCATAATATTTTAAAGGTTTGTCCAGGTTGTAGCATGTGTCAGTACTTCATTCTTTCATCCATTGTGTGTACAGACCACATTGCCTTTATCCATTCATCTGTTGATGGACATTTGGGTTGGTTTCACTTTTTAGTTACAGTGAGTGGTGCTGCTATGAACGTGGCTCTGCACGTTTTGTGTGAGCATTAAGTTTTTAGTTACCTTAGGTATACACCTAGGAATAGATGCTATCATTTTAATTCCTACTTCACAAGTGGAAACCTGAAACTGAGGTGTATTGGATTTTGAATGAGCACTTCACTCAGCTTCTATTCTGTTTCCCATTAATTCAGTTTAGTGGTCCACTAAAAATTGGCAAAGGAAGGTAAGGAAATTCCAAAAAGTTGTGATATGCCAACCGTAACTTTGTCACAGTGCAGACACAAAGTTTGAGAAACTTCTTGCGTTTTTTTCTCCTCAGGAACGAAATTGGAGCTTTTAATGTAAGGCAGTATTTATTGAATATTGTATAATAGCACCATGCCAGGTCATGAGGAGGAATATTAAAGGTGGGTCTGATCCCAGCTTCACACCTTCATAAAGCTGCAGGAGGATTACAGACTTAAATCAGGAGAACAAAAATGTGAAAGCATTTAGAAAGTAATATAGAAAAATACCTTTATAACCCGGGGCTCAGACAGGATTTCTGACGTCAAACACAAGCACAAACCATACAGAAAAAAGATTGATATATTTGACTACATTAAAATTAAGACATTCAGCTTATTGCATGCCCTACAAACAAAAAGACAACATAATAGAAAAAAGGCAAAAGCAAGGAATAGGCATTTCATAGATGAGAAAATAGCACATAAACATTAGAAGAACACCAGTCAGCCTTGTTAGTAATCAGGAAATGTAAATTAAAGCCATAGGAGATCTCAGTTCCCAGCGCCCTGTGGGACATTGCAGCCTTTGGGAAGAGGCATTGTGAACTTGCTGTCGGTGGGTGTGCAGAGTGTCCCCTTGACTACGTGGATGGCTTATGACCCTACAATTTGACTCTTAGGCTTATCTCTTTGAGAAACTTACACATGTGCTCAGGAGATGTGCATAAACATGTCCATGGCACCTCTCCTTGTAATTATAAAATAAAAACCAGCAAAACAACCCAAATGTCTGTCAGCAATAGAATGGGAACATGAATATAATGTGTTTGTACTATGAGATAGTGTGCGGCTGTGCAGGTGTAACCTACAGCTCCAGGATGAATCTCGAAAACTGGACTGAGTGAGAGAAACATGTCACCAAAGGATACATGCAGTGGGATTCCTTTATATAAAGTTCAAAACCAGGCAGAACTGAATACAATTATTTCAAAATTAAATCTGTGCTGGGTAATAGTACAACTATTAAACAACAACAACATGGCAATGATTATGTCGGAATTTAGGCAAGGATCCCCCCTCCCCCTCCCAGGATGGCAGGAGGAGCTATATGATCAGGGCAGAAGCAGATGGGGCTTTATTTGTGAAGAAGGGTTCTATGTGGGAATTTTGTTTTATTGTTCTTTGAACTGTGCATAATATGTTTTACAACTTTTGTGTGTGTTTTTTAATTTTTCTAAATTACAGAAAAGTTAATTTTAATTAGCATTTCCTGTTCTCAAAAGTCCTGTACTCTCGTTGGGGAACCAGGACAGAGACAAGTTAAGTAGAATGCAGAGCAGTGCGGTAAGTGCCACGTGGGTGAGAGAGACAGAACTCGAGGTGGGGTTCCAGCGATGCACTGGGAAGGGAAGGAAAGACGTGTGTGGGCCTCCAGTTTACCCTCAGGGCCTGAAGGTCTTTGGTGCTTGTCAGTAAGTGCTAGGAATTGAACTGGGAGAAGAAATGGAACTTGAGCTGTTCTTAGAAGGACAGATAGGATTTAAGTGCTGAGAACAAGGCAGGTTCAGACTCGGGAAGGAAGTAAGATTCCTATACAAAATGTTAATGAAAATAAAGTCCAAGCCCTGCAGCCTTATTGGGAAGTTTTACAGGACCGGCTGCTGATGAGCATGGCGAGGACCACCTCAGGCCTGCCCCAGTCATTGAAGATCACAGGAATCTCCGAGGCTACTTTCTGGTTCCTGAATACCCTTGAAGGTTTTGAGTTAAAGGGTATTGCAGGATTTTCAGCTTGTCTCTTTATTGTAACTAAAAATTAGGACAATAAAAATTAGACTGACTGTTTGTCCATCCGTCTTTTCGTCTATTCATCCATCCATCTTATGGCACTGTAACACATAACCACACACTGAGTGGCTTAGAACACAGATTTGTTCTCTTAGAGTTCTGGAGTCAGAAGTCTGAAATCACTTTCACGTGGCTAAAGTCAGGGTGTCAGCAGGGCTGTGTCACTTTGGAGGCTCCAGGGGAGAATCATTTCTTTGCCTTTGCCAGATTCTAGAGGTGCCTGCATTCCTTGACCTGTGACCCCTCCCTCCACCCTCAAATCCTTCAGCCAGCATCTTTAAGTCAATCTCTCTCTCTGACTTCTGCTTTTGGTCACATTTCCTCTGACTCTAACCATTCTTTCTTCTTTTAATAAGGATAAGTGTGATCACATTAGACCCACCTGGATAATCCAGGATCATCTCCCCATCTCAAGGTCCTTAACTTAATCACACCCTTTGCTACATAAGGTGGCTTGTTTACGAGGTTTGAGCATTAGACTGTGGGCATCTTGAGGGCCATTGCTCAGAGGACCACAACACCTCGCTGGTGCTGCTTTG